AGATAGATAGATAGATAGATAGATAGATAGATAGATAGATAGATAGATAGATAGATAGATAGATAGATAGATAGATAGATAGATAGATCTCACTTTTCGACTTATTTTCAGCTCTGTCCTCGTTTTTCTCATTCACACAGGAACTCGCTAACCAGTTTAGCCAAAATGACCCTTCAGGAGAACAACGCGCTCCGGAGGATTTCTTTTTTACGCGCATGCCTTCGTCGTGGACCATCCAGGTAATTATTGTCATTTTTTACTTATTCCACCTAATTGTACAATGAACAGCATAAGGAATATATTCCATAGTCTACAGGTCCCACTGTTCATCCATGATGAACGCCGACCTGTGTGCTGGGAATTGAGGTTGTGAACCACAGGCTGCCGCAATAGATTAACGAAAGAGAAAGCGCGAACCATTTTCGGTGTAATAAATATCTGCGATCTGTCATCTTGATTAATTGCATTTATAGAGTTGCGATCGCGTGATGGCTATCGCATGTTTCGTAAATATCCCCGAATCGCGAATTGTTTACATTGCAAATTTTCTTTCCTCTTTGGTTCATATTCTCTTTCTTTGAAATAATCATAGCGTAAACTTTGATTTTATTTAACAATATCATCTGTCCTTTGTTGTAAACATATTCGTAAAATTGTAGTTTCTGATATTTTGGGCCAGCAGCCCCGATTTTTTTGTACCTTTCAGACAAATTTCCAAGGTCATGTATGACCGAAATCTCATTTAAGATGAGTTTGGTGCAAAAATCGTTTTTTGTCCGGGCAAAATACTCGGCTGCCTTCCACTGTTGGCTTCGGTTGGCTTCATTTATACTTCACATACGTCTGACACCAGACTATGTGCCAAACAACTCATCGCATCTAGAAGAAAGACAAACGTTCCGAATGCTACCAAATTGCCCAGGCCAAGATAGGTGAATTTTCTCGAGGAATCCACAACTGAACCTTTGACTAGTCAAAGCCTGATCCACAAACCATCGGGGCTGTGTGAAAACCTCAGTCCATTAGAGGCCGATGTCCAGTTCATCGGATCATACGCCCTTTGGACGGGATCAAACGTTCGAGGTGCCCAATATACCTCGATGTCCAATTGAGCGGGTAACCATTGCCACAACCGGAAAGGTGTGAGTGTGGTTCGTACGCCTCCCCTTGGTCGGTTTGAAATCAGGGTTTTTGGCCAACTCCCCTAGGTGAAGTACCAGTGGAGCATTTCGCGAGGTGCAAGGAAAGGGTGACCAGCCACAACCCGAGACATCCACCCCGATCATACTGAGGCTTTCAGAGGCTTCAATAGCCCAGGACCAATTCGGTTGTAATCGTTTCGGGTTGCTTTGACGCATGGTTCGTCACTGGGTTACGCGCTATGCATAACAAATACCATAGTTTGCCCTTGCAACGCATAATCGTAATACTAGACATTTAGAAAAAGGGTTAGAGTGGGCCTACTCAACATAGGATTTTGCTTCCATAGTTCTCACATCAAGACCAAAAGAAGACATGTATCGCGAGATGTTAACATTTGGTTTAATCCTCTCAATCGCCAACCTAAAACAAATGAGCACATTTATAGCACATTGGATTTGTAAATCCTAGTGAACGGATAGGGGCTATTGGAATTAAAACAAGAGGTCAACTCCACAGCAGGTGGACCGATTGTGTCAACAACTTTTGGGGCGCTCAGAACAGGATAATGTAATCGGATTAGCAACACCTCACTTATTGCCAGTAGTTTTGCATTGCAGTTACGTAACAACGTTTTGAAAGAGGCAGCGGGGTCAAGTATGTGTTTGGTTGTCATGATGTTGCTTGTGACCGAGTGATTACTGAATGTCGATTTCGTCCTCGGCTTCACCAACCACTTTGGAATGTGTTCGACCATTTGTTGTGACGATTGATGGTTAGTTCTGCCTGGGTATGCGTCACCGCAACTGCAGATGAACTGGTATACGGTGTGTGCGACAGAACTTGTTTACCAGCCATGTGCATGTTTGTCCAAATCAATTTTGCGAGGAGAGACAATAAGTTGAATTTGAGCAGCTGGAACTGTGCGGTTCAGAGCTGACTTTAACTTAGGGCACATATCGTTCAGAAGGTAATCGCCCTTCAAAGATAGTTGGAAGTAGACGGCTTTCTGGGAAACAGTTGGCGATGAATTACCTTTTTGAGATTGTTTGTTATGGATATCACTGAATCTTTCAGGGTAAGCCTTTCTTAGCAACGTTTTCTTTGGGAATTCTTCTCGTAGTATTTCCGGGGAACAAATGTTTCTGGTTCAATGAAACAGAGTTTTTATGAGTCTTTGTTTGCAAGCCATGGGTGAAAAGCTAAAGAACTGTAGATACCGACCATTCCATGTTGCTTTTCTGTGGATAGAACGTTATCGTGTACCATCTAAGCGCCTCGACTACATCAAACTATCTTCTAAGGGCGATTACCTTCTGGACGATGTGCACCAAAAGTAAAAGTCAACTCTGAACCCCGCATTTTCAGCTGTTCGACTTCGATTGATTGCCTCTACTCGTAGAATTGATTTGGACAAACGTATATATGATTTTAAAAGTGTCGTTTTTGAGTGGCTATCTGGATCTATTAATCGAGGTTCTTTTAACCGGTACCGATTGACCTAATAAACACTGTTACACAGTAGCCTTATCA